TAAAACTGCAGTGTTAAAAAAAAATTGAAAACATTTGAAAAATTTCCCATGATATTTTAAGACGCTCATTTTACGCCAACATTGCGCGCGTGAGATTGTGTTCGTTTGTTTATTTTCATAGCCGTCTGGATCAACTCTAGTGGACCTGTTTTTCAATGGCCCATATGGAATTTGGATATGGGCTTATTTTATATAAATAAAAACGCATCGGATATTCAATTATTTTTTGGGGTTGGGCCGGGTCATAAATGGGACCCATACCTGGACCCGATGCTTTTCCATTGTCATTTTTTTTTTTTTTTGGTCAGTGCTTATCATTTTTCTACTCCACTCGAAAACCAATGATCTTGTACTTAGAAAATAGTGCAAATCTTGACCTTTCTTCAAGTAAATAAATAAAGATTCTCATTCGGTCGAATTATCTCCAAATTTTATTGAATTATTCACAGTATATATAATGGCTTTTTTATTGACATGATTCTTTTGGACTATATGTGAATCTGGTCAACATGTTCACATTTTCCTCATAGTTAATTTAGGTATTTTTTGTTTTTGTTTTTAAAGTGGAACTCCAGGTGTTCTTTTTATTGTATGCATATAGCTAATCAGCTATAGAAATATGTTTAAGATATGATATAATTGTTTAATAGTCACAACATGAAAAGTAAAACGTTAACTGGAAAATGATATTTGTGTTTAACGTTTTATCCATAAGTTTTTTTTTTTTTTTTGAAACTTATTATCCATAAGTTTGAGACGGACAATATGATATGTGTATGTGACACTAAAATACAGAGTGTATCTTCTAATTAAAAAATATAAAGAAATGAATTTCCATTATTTGTAGCCTGTATGTCTCTCTTGTTAATTATCATTACTAAAAAATAAAATAATTCGTAGTCTATTTAAAAAAAGGAATGGTATATATTCTTGCCCTAACTTACATATGCAATTCCAAGGTGTTTTCTTTTCAAAAAGTTACAAAACAAAGCAACTGATTATCCTCCACGCTAAAGTTTTCTTGATATAAACTTTACTTTAATTAAAGAAACTTATACTATAATCACCTTGCTTTTTTACTCAAATGGTTCCTAAATTTACGAATGAAACAAACCTATACTATTTTCATTTATGAATTCAGCTCCTATTTATTGCACAATTTTGCATAGCCACATTAATTAGACAACAAAACGATTTTCTTATAATGCACAAACTATAATTTTTTTGTTCCTCAAAAATTTTACATTCAAGCAAATGCAAATGTTCACACTCAAGCTTTGAGACCTTTTCATATAATATATCAATGCAAACACAAATAGATTATATTTAGGACAATTACAAAAATATCATTTTTTGTGTGTACATTTATAAAAATGCCACTTAGGGATATTAATTTACAAAAATGCCACTAATTATAGATTTATAAAATCTATATCTTAAAATTCTAAACCCTAAAAAATGTTTGACACCTAAAACCCCA